TATTCCCAGTGGCACTGTTGCCTAATGCTGCCAAGTACTGAGCACATCTTGTCTTGAGGAAAAATATGATGCCATGGAATAAGGAAACACACAAATGAAACGGCACACAACATGGCAGCCTCCTGAACTCCCATCCTCAGTCAAAATTGAGAGGGTAAAACACACTTTTAAGAGCATGATGAAAAAAAAAGGCAATTGACAAACAAATAAGATACTGCCCATGATGAGGGCTGGGAAGATAGGGCTTCGCATTCATAGTGTACATTTAGATTATTAACTCCTAGAATACTGAGATATGTAATTGTTTTACAGAATGGAATATTCTGAATAAACATTTTAAACTCCATGTTAACAAGTCATTGCATTGTAATAACAGAAGTCATTAAGACTGCTAACAGTAAAAAACTGCTAATTTAACTTGGAAGCATTGGTTCTTTAACATTACATAAATAAAATTTTTTATTAAAAAAAAAAATTAGCTTTAGCTAATGAATTTGTTTTAGTCCCTCTGAGGAAACAGCAGATACCAGACAAAAATGAGCAGAACCAATATCTTACTGCTTTGGTAAAGAAGTTACAAATACATAAAGACTTGTAAATGTTGCATGACTGAGAAAATAATTCAGTTATGTAATTTTGGTTCGTGCTTAGCAGTTGTTCATTTGCATATCTGTTTCCGCCTAACTTTACTGCAAGTATTTCTTTCTGGAAGCCCATTCAGTTTCTGGGTAGTGCACACATTCTAACTTCTCTTTCTTGGCAATTTTTTGTTATTTGTAAAAAGACAGCTCATACATTACCACATACACATGATAATTTTGTCTGGAATAATGGTTTATCTGGTACTGGAATTTTTGTTTTATATAGTCATAGAATGGTTACGGTTGGAAGGGACCTTACAGACCATCTAGTTCCAACCCCCCTGCCATGGGCAGGGACACCTTCCACTAGACCAGGTTGCTCAAAGCCTCATCCAGCCTGGCCTTGAACACTTCCAGGGATGGGGCATCCACAGCTTCTCTGGGCAACCTGTTCCAGTGCCTCACCACCCTCTCTGTGAAGAATTTATAGAATAAAGCCTGATGTTCAGAAATAGTTTCAATGTTTTTAGAAGTATTCATATTATATCTTTCAGATCATCTTGCAAATGTAGTTGAAGATTCTGTAAGTACAGTTTCCACTAAAAATAGGAATTGCGTTAATAATCTGGAATTATATGAGTGCTTTACCACATACTGTCTTTTGACCTATATGGTACGGTTATGTGCTGTATTTATTAATGCAAATTTTTCATAATAAAATGTGTAAGTAACTTGAAGCCTGAGTTGTGAGGTATTAGAGCCATCTACACAGGTAAAAGGTCCAGATCCTGTGTTAATGTGTGCCTGGTAAAATCTCATTTGCTTAAGTAACATTTTTTAAGCTAATCAAACTTAATAAAATTATTATCTGTTGCCTCTAAATTATGCACAGCAGAGAATAAGTGATTGTTTGAGCTGATTGAATTTCCTACTCTTTAAAGTGAGGACAGGAAGACCAATCTGATTTAGCAGCATATCTAAAGAGAAATTGGATTCACGTTTTAAAAGGACCCTGTGTGCATATTACGAATATATTTATCTAAAACTACATTTATCTAAAATTGTCTGTGGAAGTCGATTCAGGTTTATTTTTTAGTTGCAGAAAAAAAATTCCAAATTCAGCTATATCGTCTAAGCGTTTGATAGATTTTGCTTAGGCTTTCTGACATACTACATGTTTCCTAGAAAGGCAAGACCTTAGGTTGGTTGGAGTTTGGATTCACATGCAAAAGTACTTTCAGTTTATAAAAACAAGTGTTCTTTGTTCTGCTTACATTTGCACATGTGAATCTTTTGACATACTAGGAACGATAAATATATGAATTCATAGGTCTATTTTTTATTTATACAGTAACTGCTGGATTATATGGTCCAGAAATAAATGAGTCACAACCATGACGAAGCTATGAAGAAAATCAGTGTTGTGAACCTCAATAAACTTTTAGATAACTTCTCAGAGATAGAGAAGGTAAGTGGAGAAGGTAAAAAATGTTGAAACTGCTATCTATAAATATTTTGTGAAATCTGATAGGCTTTTCAAGTGAAAAATTGTAAGTGGTATCAGCTTGTTCTTATTAATAAGCCTTGTAATACCAATTTTGTTTGGAAATTGTATTGATTGTGTCTCAGAGTGATATCAGTTACTTCTGTGGAGTCTGTGCTAGAATTTTAATGGTTCTGAGGCCAATTTTGGCTTCTCAGCAAAAGCATGGAAGTGTGCATTTGTATCAGAGGCTGCCACAGGAGAAAATAATGTTACACAGCTTTGCTGGACTATTCTTGCGGAAATTGTTCCTTATTCTAGAAAAATACATCATTCCCATAGCAGGAGTATGTGTTCTTGTATTCCATATGCACTGAGGTCTCCTTATTTTATGTATATGTCAGTTCTTAAAAGATTGATCTGCTGAGGAAAATCAGTGCTGCATTTCTTCTTAGACCCACATCGGCCAGTTCTCAATCAACGGGTGATTGATCCTGATCAGTAAATCCATATCAGGAACATCCAATCAGTAAATCAGGGGCACCCGAAATCTCATTTCTTATGGAGAAAAAACATAACAATTCCTATTCATACTCATTACTTATGTTGGTGCTCAGCAAGGGTATTAACAGCCCCTTATGCAAAGCACTGGAAAGAAACCTGCTGAGGACTAATCCAGACTGCAGACAACAGAGCTGAGAACAAGCCAGTTTATAACGAGTGATGTAAGTCGGCATTTTTAGCTCTGCAGAGTAAATTATCAATACCACAGGCTTTCAAGTACAACATTGTCCTTTATGATGGAATTTCCAGAATGGCAAATAATACAGGCTTGTGGCTGTAGTGTTATGAAAATGTTAAATTTTATATTCATGTAAAACTAAGATTTAAAACTTCTATCAATAGATACATTAAAATAACTTCAGTATTTTTCCACTTTTCTAGAAGATATCAGAAATTAATGAAGCAAATAACCTACTGGTTCTTCAACTGGAAAAATGTAACAGGTTGTTAACATTAAGTCAATCAAAGGAGGAATCAGTAAAAGAAGGTAGTGTTTTTTTCAAAAAACAGTATAAGAAGTTCTGAGAAATACTTCCATTATTTTCAGTCATATAAAATATAAAAATAAAATAGCAGGATCTAAGATACTGTGTAAAAATGAGTAATGCTTAATCTTGGGTCATATATTGGAATCCATCTCATTTGCATAAACCAGATAACTTTAATCCATAAACATATTTTAAGAACTGCATTGCAATAACTGTTTTCCAGTTGATGTTAATATCCATTCACCTTAATAGATTTTTGAGTGCGTGCGGTTCCTATGAAAGAAAAACTTTCCTTTTGTATTTTCTTTCATTTTTTCTACTTTGTCTTTTTCCTTTTGAATATGTTACCTCCTTTTCCAAGGAAACAATATGTTTGCAGGGAAACAGGGAGAGGATCAGATGAGCTTGGTAGGCCTTATGATGTTGTGCCAAAATGTTTACCTTTCCCATCCCTACGGGGCTCCTGAGCTTCTAGTGAACTGTCACAATTTATGATGCCAGCATTTCTGAGCAAATTAAGATGAGCAGTTTTACTTATGTTAATCCACAAGCAGCTCAGATGTCTGTGTAGAACAACAGGGTCAATATTTGGGAAAAGTAAGGTCATTACTCACACTACCATGCCCCAAGCTGAGCTGTTCCATTGGTATCAATATGACAAATGTTATGTTTCACCTGGTCACCAGAAACATTTTGCCCACTGAAAAATGAGCCAGGTGCATTCTTGAATGCATATTTTGCCGCCAGCTGAAAGGTCAAAGCTTGCTTGTAATTGGAGATGGCATGTCAGACTGGTGGAACTGGTGCTCCAAGATAACACAGAGAATTAAGTTTCTTAGTTGCTTGTGTGATTTGGCTTCAAGTATGTAATGATGGAGCAGGTCCAAGGTCAGGACAGGAGGCTGAGTCAGGATTAGGTCCAGAAATGGTAACAAGGACCAGACATGGCCTAGTGATCACTAGCAGGTCCATAGTGAGGACACAGGTCCAAAATCAAGCCAGGAAGTCACTCCCTAGGTCATGGCCAGGGCATATCTCTATATGGTATGTGGCTGCAACACAGCTGCAGCATAGCTCAGGGTAGGCCAAGGGCAAAAGCCTCAGCTTTAAATCAGCTGCCAAGGGAAGGAGAAGCTGCCATTTTTGAGTCTTCTTCCAGCTCTCTTCAAACAGCTTTTTTCCAGGTCACCAGCTGTACTCTTTCTGTTGGCCTTGAGCCCAGCCAAACACCCAGGAGGTAGGTGGGTGGGAGAGAATGCACTTGGGGCCCTCACAGGTTTCCTCACAATTTTGGAACATCTGAAAAAAGGCTTAAGTTGACTGGAAGCATTTTAGCCTGAAGAGAAAGAATAGAGTTGATATGACTCATAGCTGTAAAATTATGAATGGCACAGGGAGAGTGACTAGGGAATGAATATTCACTGTTTAATGCAATAAGAGAACTAGATGGATATTGAACTTGATTGATTTAAAGCAAACAAAAGGAGGAATTTTTCCATACATTACAAAATAAAGTTGTTAAATCAATTCCACAGAGGCTTGTGGATAACAGGAGTATAGATTACTCCAAAAATATTAGAAAAAAATCACGTAACAAAAAGTAACAGATTTGTTAAAAACAAAGACAGTACCTGCCACTTGGGTCTCCCTTATTCTTGTGTTTTGGAAGCTGAGAGGATGTATTAGGGGTAGTGTTTACCCAGCTTTTTTCCCCCTTTCCTGAAGTATCTTTTACTGACCATTGTGAAGTGGGATAGTGAACTGGATGGAACATTGCTTTGACTCATTAGAGCCATTTGTTTCTCTGTTAAGCACAAAACACAATGCAGGACAGTTATTCAGAAACAGGCTTTGTTACTGACAAAAGCAGTGAGGAGGGGGTTTATACAAAATAGATTGAAAAAAGGGAAAGGAAAAGGTAGACCAAAAAAAGAAATTATTCTTACCGTAAAATCTATGGGCTAAGAGCAGAGAAAGTGGAAGAGACAATGCAGGAAATCAGAGCCACTGGCATGACTGCAACAAGGACTGTGGAAGTAGAATGGACCAAAAATAGATGAAAGTCAGAAGAAAGATTTGAGCTTTGTAAATAGTGGTGCCTCACTTCGATAAGACTGAAATGATTTGAGGAGACAGTTATGTTGATAGAACTCAACAACCTCTGAAGCTATTTTGAAACAAACGATGGAAAAAAAATGTGGATGGCAGAAGTCCAAGTGAAAATACCAGAACGATCAGCATGAAATATGAACTAAAGTTTTAGCAGCAGGGATAGCCAGGAAAAAACAAATCTCAATAATATTGAAGTCATGGTAATTGTACAAATTAGTACAAATATAGACAGGAGGCAGAATTGTTGGAAGCCAAGGATAATGGTCAGTGAGTAAGAGAGATTGCAGAGCTGTTAGTAGCAGCAATGAAAAAAGTGAAAAGCGGGAACCTGTAACAACATGGGACACCCAGGTGGTGACTCTGAAAGCTAACTGACAATAAGGAAGTGGAAAGTAAAGGAGAGATGCCAAACAGATAGAATGTATTTAGAAATTAAGACAGTTGTTATGGCAGTTCTATTAGGTTAATGTGCTTAACAATGAGGAAAACACTTTAAGTATCACGACATGAAGTGCTCCTAAATTGGTATTTTTGAACCGTATTGATTAATGGTGATCAGAGAGCAGAGTTTCACAAACCATCTTGGGCAGAAAATTGCCATAATCAGATGCGGATGATGTCAGAGGAATCTCCAGATAAATAGTTACCATGTTACTGGAGATCAGCAGTGACCATAACATTAAAAGTACTTCAAAAGGACATTATGGTTGGTGTAGTGATTATAAATAATAGCAAGTATATAATGTCTCTAAAGCATTTTGCTTTTTCTTTTTGAAATAGATAGAAATCATCTTTGCACCTTTATCAAATTCACCTGCAACACTGACCTTTCAGAAGGGCTAATAACATGCCATGAATTCAGAATCAGAGCACTAAACGTGTTGCGTATAATAGTTCCATTCTTCGTAAAACTTTTTGAAAGGCACAGAACTGTGGGATTAAAAAAACCCACTATTATTGATGAGGTTATAGAGGGATCCTGTGCAGAGCTGGAGGAGGTGCAAGGGACAAATGTGGCATAGGTACTTCCATTCTTACTCTGGCAACAGTTATTTCATCAGGTTCTAGCTGTGAGAATGGTTCTTATGCAGTGATACTGCCAACAGAAATAGGAGTGGCATTTTGCGCCCCAAGAAATCTCAAACAAGTGAGAACTTGAAGTCTCCCTGATATCCTTGACTGCCAGAAGTCTTAAACTGTTTAAGGTAAAAAAGGACTGGGAATTCTGAAGGAAATGCAAAGGAAGAAAGAAAACTTCTAAAACTCAGGAGAGGAGAGTGAAACACTTGAACCAAGGATAAGGTGGGAAAAGATGAGCAACTGGGCAAGTGTATACATCACAGAATCACAGAGTCACTGAGATTGGAAAAGACCTATCAGATCACCTAGTCCAACCATCCACCCACCACTACTCTACCCACTAGACCATGTCCCTAAGCACAACATCTACACATCTTTGAAATACCTCCAGGGATGGTGACTCCACCACTTCCCTGGGCAGCCCCTTCCAATGCTTAATAACGCTTTCAGTAAAATACCCACTCCACCCCCCCCCTGCCACAGCTTGAGGCCATTTCCTCTTGTCCTATCACCAGTTACCCAGGAGAACACACCAGCACCCACCTCCCTACACCCTCCTTTCAGGTAGCCGTAGAGAGCGATCAGGTCTCCCATCAGCCTCCTTTTCTTCAGGCTAAACACCCCCAGCCCCCTCAGCTGCTCCTCACAGGCCTTGTTCTCCAGACCCTTCACCAGCTGTGTCATCCTTCTCTGGGCAGGCTCCAGCATCTCTGTGGCCTTCTGGTAGTGAGGGGCCCAAAACTGAACACAGTACTCATGCTGGCTGGGCCTGATCCCCTGGTTGTCTTGTACTGGTCAGGCTGACAGGCCTGTACTTCTCTGGATCCTCCTTCCACCCCTTATTGTAGATGGGTGTCACATTGGCAAGTCTCCAGTCTTCTGGAACCTCCCCTGTTAACCAGGACTGCTGGTAAATGATGGAGAGCGGCTTGGCAAGCTCCTTCGCCAACGCCCTCAGTACCCTTGGAATTGAAGGGTAATTCAACTCACCCCTGAAATTCTTCACAGAGAGGGTGGTGAACCACTGGAACAGGTTGCCCAGAGAAGCTGTGGATGCCCCATCCCTGGAAGTGTTCAAGGCCAGGCTGGATGAGGCTTTGAGCAACCTGGTCTAGTGGAAGGTGTCCCTGCCCATGGCAGGGGGGGTGGAACTAGATGGATCTTTAAGGTCCCTTCCAACCCAAACCATTCTCTGATTCTATGATTCTATGAATCCTGTCCAGCCCCATAGATTTGGGAGTGTCCAATAGTAGGTCATTAACTGCTTCCTCCTGGATTGTGAGGAATTTATTCTGCTCTCCATCCCTGTCTTCCAGCTCAGGGAGCTGATAACTGGTCTGGCTATTAAAGACTGAGGCAAAGGCAGCATTCAGTACCTCAACCTTTTCCTCATCCTTTGTCCCTGTGTTTCCCTCTGCATTCAATAAGGGATGGAGATTCTCTTTGACTCTCTTTTTATTGCTAATGTATCTGTAGAAACATTTTTTGTTGTTTTTCTCAACAGTGGCCTGTTCTGAAAGGTCATACATGAGCTTTGTTTTGTTTTTTGCTAAACAAAGGTGAGATTCACAGGTTTTGTTTAGTGTGCATCACTGCAGATCCACTTAGGACACACTAAGTCTGGCATTCTTATTTTCTGCTCCTAAATATTTTCTGTGGTGACTAAATGGGCTCTGTGTTGCAGGCTACAAGTCTGAACTAAAATCTACTATAGTTTTCAAAAAGACAACATTCACATTATTGCCTATAGAACACATAAAGTGGCTCCATTTTGGGGTAATTAGTGGGTTTGTTTGGGGTTTTTTTTTCAAACAATTACTTCATTTTCTTTAAATACTTCTCGTCACAATTGCTCTGTAGCGGTAGATAATGCTTCCAAGTAACCAAGGTGGGACAGATACATGGAATGCCACATTGTCACAGCGTCTTCAGGATTGCGTATTTGTTGACTTAGTGTTTCAGAGGTGTTAAAAGAATAAGTGGTTGATGTAACTGCCCTATTAAAAAAAAAAAAAGCCAATATATTCAATTATAAATGCAGATGGAAGAAACTGCAATAAATTATAGATACTAAAAATGGGAAAAGAGCACTTAGGCTGTTCAGTCTTTCTGCAAGTGTTCTTCACCGGGAAGGAACCACACAGAATTCATAACAGATGCTATACCAGTGATCCTCAAAGCTGCAACCATTTAGCAAAATCTTGCTTTTTCTTTCTTAATGTAGGCAAGCAAAACTTATGGGTTCTAGGTCTTTTTTTCCAGTCACAACTGTTAATCATGTAAGAGGTTTGCCAAGATACATCCTGTAAAGATAAGAGAGATAAGCAAATATTCTTGGGACTGGACAAAAGAGTGGCTTGAGCTTCAATAGCTGTGATTCATTTTAAGACTAGCTACTGTGTTGTTGTTTACTCCAATGCAGATATGTTTTTCCATTTTGTGAATGAATTGCAAGCATTTGGGTTTATTTCCATACATTTTCAAATAGGAGTGAGTAGAACTACTTGCTACAAATGAGCCTACTAACCTAACGCTTCTGATTTTGAATAGGATTTTTCCACAAACGCTTTCCATCCAGTACAGGAGCTGAGGGCAGGCAATGTTTCTGTGCTGTTCGTGCTCCCTCTACTGTTATTTTAGACGCATGGAACGGTAGCATGCAGCTGGCTAACGTACTGGGCTGCATGGAAAACAGACTTGACGGAGGAACAGGCTAAAGTTCAAAAAGATTGAGTGAGAAACTGAATCTCTGAGCTGGGATCTTAATTCACCTTCCTTACTCCATTATATACAACGAAGTCTTTAATTATGTCATCTACAATTTTCAACAGAGCTTTGGTCTTACGAGATGAGTAACTGTTATTTAGCGTACTTTATCTGTTTGTGGAAATTGAAAGCCACTTAAGAAATGCAGCGGAACTCTGGAAATAAAAAGAAAGGTTTTAAGAGTAAGCAACCTCAGTTGTAGTGTCCCCAGACTTCCCAGTCTTTGAATGTTCTGTAACTTTACTGATAAGCTTACAAGGAATGTAAGTGATAAAAAATAGTAGTTAATGAAAACCAAATGTCATATTGCAGCCTGCCCATATGGTCTTCAGATATTAAAAATACAAGTTTTAAAAATAAAATTACTAAATTCAAAAACATAAACTGATAACAAGTTGCCTGTATATACATATCTACATAACTCATTTGAAATTAGATGGTGGGTTTATAGTAGCATATTCTGATGCAAGTTTATGTTGAGCCACAGATGAACCTTCATACGCACTAAAAAGTAGGTGAGAAACTGCAATGAGTGGATAATGATGGTCTTGTTAAAAAGGAATCTTGGCAAAAATGCTGTCACGAAAGGAAGCCTCAGTTTCATTAATTACATCAAATTGCTGGAATGCTGATACGGAAAACTTCCATTATTGCCCAGAAAACAATAACATCCTTATTTTCTGGTTAGAAACAAAAATGTAATCGTTTTACAAAATTGTTCTTACTGCTTGATAAAATTGTTCTTAATCTACTGTCAAACTGAAAGCTAAAATTAAACAGTAACCATGCAGTAATAATCTGAGTTATTTGCATAGTCAGTAAGACAGACTAGTATTTAATGAAGGATGATTATAAAATATTTAAGAAAAGTTTATAAACAAAATACAAAATTAAAGTGGTGAAGAAATTATTAAAAAGTACTGGATCTTTCACTTCTTTTAGAATGTTCTGCTCTACAGAATGTGATAAAGGGTCTAACACAAACCATTGAAAACCAGTGTAACGTGAAAGGTAAAAGCAAAAATGTTATTATATATACTGTACTCTATTGTAATTTAGCATAAGCAAGCATTTATTTTTTTTGTCTATATATACTGGTTTTATTTAGAGAGAGAAACTCACTGACAGCCAAACAGAAAGGGGAAAAAAAAAAATCAAAAATCAGTTCTGTGCACATTTTGGTGGTCTATATGTTCAATGAATGTCTATTGCTATTATCCTACTTAGAATCTGCATGTAAAATTTCTGCCTCTGTGAGGCTTTTTTAATCAATAGTTGGTCTTTAAATTTATTTTAGCATAGCGCAGGCAATGTTACAAAAAGTGAGAAAGGGAGACGGTATCATTCAACCGTTGTACTGTAGTGTATTAAGGCACTTATGTACAGTTTTTATTGCTTTGTTAAAACAAAGTGCCTTAATCCTCAGTTGAATGTTATTACAATTTAGCTGTTATCCATAAATACTTTACAACCATTCATTTCTATTTTAATTTAAAATATATAAATATTTGCTCAATTTGTACCAGTTCAGCTGTATACCATGCAGTTAATTTTATGCCCACTGTATGTTTTATGGCATATTAGCATAAATATTAATGTAGCTCAAAAAAATGGAAGTATATGGCTGCTTTTAATACTCACAGTGACTTCTAATGGTCAAAAAAAGCATTATCTTATCTGCTTTTTCTAAATTCTGGTTTTGAGCTACTACTTTCTAGTGTTTGGGAAACAAGTACTTAAAAAGTTGCATCTTCCAATTTGAAACTGTTGTAGGCATGATAATAATCATTTGTTTTCTGAGCCAAAAAGAACTTTGCATCTAGATTTTTATGAATGCATCACTTATCAGAAGGCTAAAGATCGTTCAATGTAGTAATACCAGGAAGATATTACAATTAAAGTATGACTTCTCATGTTAAAAATATGGAGGATGTGATTATGTAGTTCTGTACATGATGATTATCATGTCCACAAAAAAGTTTCTTAAAGTGCAGACAAGTCAACACATGAAAGTAATTTCCTTATTCTGCTTTCATGCTTAATACTATCAAAAAAGCATTATTACTTCTTAGTACTTAGTACTTCTTAGTGTCCCTTACAGTTTTTTATTTACATAGATGAAAACGATAGACTGAAGAGTACCATTCACATCTTGGAAGAGAAATTAAAGGCTTGTGAACAGGTACGTCACAAACCATCATTCTTTAGGTGGAGAAATAATATTTTATATTCTACTATAGTAGTTCATATACCTTTATATTGTTGGGTTTGCTGCTGATACCATTATTGTAGCACTTTTCCTAGCATTTATCATGTGTAAAAAGAGGAGGGTTGTTCTCACAACAGTATCCATATGAGAATGTGATAGAGGGACTAAGAGGTCAAAACTACTAAGCACTGTCAACTCTGTCTCAGTCTAAGATGCACTTCTTTTTTTAGCCGTATTTACCTTTAAATTCAACTTTACATTCTAAAATCTAATCTCTTGCATTAAAATACATTTTTGTGTGGAAATAAGGTTTTGATATTCACAGTGCCTGCTGTACTGCGAGAGAATCGAGAATGGTCTGAATTTTGTCTACAGTTTCTTTGGGCGTAAATGCTCCATAGATAATAGGTCCCTGTGCCTCGTGACAAATGCCATTTACCATCCCTCTGCTGTTTATCTATGCCACTCACCTGTGGAAAGGAGGTAACACCAGCAGGGCTAGACACACGTCGCATTAGTTCTCTGCGCCAAGGTTGCACATCTGTTACCTGTATAGGACTAGGAATCTCACTGCTGATTTTCTTTGCCTGTGTTTATACTAACTATGAGTTATATTTCTATACTGATGGAGCTGATATCTTGGTATTTTGAGAATAGAATCAGTAATGCCTTCTGAAGGACATGAGAAAACTGAGATTCTGTACGTTATATACATGTATGGGCATAGTGGAACTTCCTGTTACTGTTCTGAAGGCACTTGACTGTGCCCACAGATAGAACCACCACCAAGTGTTTCACTGCCTTTATGAGTGCCTTCGAGCACTGCTCTGCTGGGTGGCTGCCTACCCGGTCACAAGGCTCTGACAAGAGCTTTAGAGTGGCACATTGGCAGCCACAGTCAATTCCTTGATAATTCTGGAATGGTTATTGGAGCGTACTTCCAATAGGCATGCTCAACCTCTGCACTTGAACATCAGTGCCACCAGCAACACTTCTGCTGATACCACTGATGTTTCTACGGCTGCCAGTATGAAGTTGTGGAATCCTTGGTACAAGCAGTATTTGCAATACTTTAAATACCATTATTATTACACAATCTTACCGTCAAAAATCCACAGAAGTAAAACCACAGTCACTTAACTAACTGCAGCACTGTATCAGATCCTGGACTGGGCAAAGAAATAGTGAGCCTCCATTTGCCTGTTCTCCTAATAAGTGCAATTTCTAATTTTATATTAACAGATAGCAGTGAAATTGACTGATAGTAATGCAATGAAATCAGCTACATTTTTCATCTGTGGACTTCAGCCAGGTTGTGTAAGACGTACTTGGGCGTTCTGAGTGTGTTAGTTCGAGGATAAAACAAGTACTGAATTCCAGAGCACTCTGCATTTTGACACAAATGTTGCGCTTCGCACAGAAAGCTCAAGATTTTTATAAAGCTTTTTACATCTGCAGGAATGTAAAGATCAGATTGAGAAACTTATGATAGAAATTAAAAACAAAGAGGAAGACCACAAATTAGAAATAGCACAGTTGAACTGTGATACAAGGAAAAAAAGTAAGTTCTCTGAAGAGTGGATGTTACAAAACTGGATAAAACATGTTGTATCCTGTTGGAGATACTTTATCCAGGCCAAGTACAAGCTGCACTTCTTAGTGGAAACATATGAAAGCTAGAAGTGGACAGTGTTTAACTGGATTCTATCTTTGCTCAAGAGAGTAGACAGAGGCAATGGTACAGCAACATAAGATGAGGAGAAATCCCTAGACAGGTAGAACAGATGCTGGAAACTTGGACCTAAAAATCTGAAAGAATGGTATTTTGGGTTAAACTAGACTGCTGTTCGGGAGTCTAGCTTACCCTCCAGCTATGCTCAGGAGAGTAGGACACTATTTTCACAAATAAATAATACTGAAACAAAAAAAAATTATTTCTTCTTTTTTTTTCATTAGTGGCATAAGCTTGAAGAGTAGGATTTTTTGGTCATGCACTTAGCTAGAAAAAGCCAGACAAACTGTAAAATGTGATGGTGCCTTAAAGAGGCTCTATCTTAGTGGGCTGGAACAAGGTAGTTTTCACACAAAAAGTATGGCTTTCGCTTGAATGAAATTGGTTTCTCATGCAACAATGACCTGCTGTTCAAAAAGTTTTAATATTTGGGAGTTTATGTTAATTTTTCCATCTAAACATCTTTTATAACCATCTTATTTGGTGTTACTCTGTTACTAGTTGAAATAAAGGAAGAGGAGTATAGAGAACAAAGAGAGAAAAAAGAACTGGAAATATTAGAGCTCTCTAGACAACTGAAAATTTTAAATGAAGAGAAGCAGAATGAAATAATTAAGCTGCAGATAGAGGTATGCATTAGAGGCTGAGTTAGAGATCAGTCGGATTTTGGGTAAACTTAGAAGAGATTTTAGTGAAAAATGTCAATTATTACTTAACAAAGTAATACAATGGAATCTTAAAAAATGAATGTCTTTGTAGAGATCAGTGGCATGTGCTGCCTCCCGGAATGGTGTCTGAGTTTCTTCTACTCAGAAATCGAGCTCTACTGACTGTACAGGGAGACTGACGTTTGCTCTGTTCTTGGTTTGCTTTAAATTATCTTGAAAATTTGGCTAGTTTTTGAGCTATTAAAAAAAAAAAAGTTTTCTGCTTATTTTTATTCTTTTCAATTTCTGAATGCTGGGAAGATACATTTTTTTATAACATTCCAAAGCTTAAAGACTTCTAATGCTATGGAGATTTGAGCACAGAATTCAACGTGTATTTCATGGCACAGGCTTTCAGCCACTCTCATTACAGAAACAGTTGAGGAAATGCTTCAAACTTTTCCCATATTAAAAAAGAAGTAAGGTGTGAAAGTGTTCAGACTGAGTTTTCCTTGGAACGTGAAGGAATTGTGATGGTTTCTGAGGTTTTTAACACCCTCTGCATTTTTTTCTGCAGTTGTGGAGCCTGCAAAAAGATTTTCAGTAGTCATCTTGTTTGTCTAAATGTATTTGGATTATAGTATTTGTACTATTTACTTTTTGCAATATTTTGAGGCATTTTTTTAAGAAGCGTAGCTTGCAGTTGCATTCCTTGTTAAATAAACTTAAGTGGCCTCATTGTCCTAGGATTAAGTAGTAGATAAGGTTGCTAGTAGTACTTCCAGGCACAAAATCAATTTTTTTAAAAAGTGAAGATTTCACCTGTGTTACTTAAAATACTTTTTTCCCTGTTGGGTTCTTAACGTTTTGTCTTTTCATGATTCTTTCAGTTCAATGCTAAATTAGCAAGAGTTCAGAATAAAACAACAAAATCATTGCCGGATGCTTCTGTCTTGCCACAAAGTATCTACCGAAGGGTATGTGCGTTAATGGCCTGTGGTTAACGGCAGTTCCCTGGGGTTCTACTGTGTTGGCTCTGATGGGTGGTGGGGGGTGGGGTGGCGTGTTTCATGCCTTACATGTCAGTTCTACTCACTCTCCCACACCCCCCTCCCCGCTCTAGGCAGCAAGCATCACGTCTCTGCAACGATGCTGACGTAGCTGGGCTTCGACGGCAAAAGCTCACACGTGAAGTGGGTTTAGTAGGGAGCTGGTAACCTGGGAACCTAAGAGAGAGCTGACATAAATGATGGCGATATGAGTTACCTGTGTGCATTATTGGTTTTGTAGGCTTGGAACTTTGGGATGTCCAAAAACAGGACCTTGGGAACTCATCTTTGTAATTTTGTTGTACAAAATAGAGAAAAGTAGTATTCTTAGAACATTTCTCATCAGCAACAGCATACTGCATTGTTACAATGTTGTGATGTTTAACAGCGAAGCCATTGCTTGCCTTTTTACAGAAGCTGCAGCATCTCCAGGAGGAGAAAAACAAGGAAATTGAAATTCTCCGAAACACCATAAGAGACTTAGAGCAACGTCTTAATAAAGGCCAGGACTTGCACTTAAAACGGAGGCGATTTTGAGTTAATGACATGAAGTATTTCAGTAGTGTGTATAATGGGAAATAGAAACAGTGTATTTCAAACTGTGCACCTGAAATCAAAAATATGGAGAAATACAGAATACTTTTATTGAAAATGCTCTTGACAGATATTCCAAAGGCATGCATTCTGTGTATATTCAGTACTACTTTCTTGCTAATCAGCATTCATGATAAAAATATGCAGGCTTTGTAGGAGCAATAATCTTCCTATTAAACCATCAGTGAATCAAAGGTTAGGAATGCTAAACTACAGACAGAGAACTTGTACAAGTTAAAGAGTGGTGTATTACCTTAGTGATCAACACAGGTTTATCGAGTTCAGCGCTGTTATAAACAAAGATAAACTTAAACCAAGATTAAATTCCTTCTACCCCTCCCTCTTGTTGATAGATACTGATTGTACATGAAGAGTTGTTAGAACTCTGCTTCTGACCTTAGGCACGATATCACTTGATTTAGTGGGATTTTACAAGCTGTAGGAGTACGTATTAGTGGACCCTGATACCGTCTCTAAGCCACAGAAGTTAAGAATATAAATCTGTTAATTTAAAATAATGCAATTCCTGCTTGTATCTTACGTTTGAGATAAAATGTTACTTAGGCATGTCACATAGGAATAAGCTTTTCTTGTACATAATTTGTATCCCCAGGTTAGGGAAAAATATCCCCAAACCCAACAATAACTTCTGAGTATTTTCCATCTTCTTAATAAAAAATGATTAAAATATCTGGTTTTGGTTATCTTCTGTTCTTGATTGCAAAACATCAGACAGGAGCCCCTAGGTCATAGTTTATGCTCCTGTCCTCACAAATGCAAACAGAATGTTAGAAGAGAAACAAGACAGACAAATTAATGAAAAATGCCGACACGTTCCCTGCGCAACTGAAAACCAAACTACAGGTCAATTAAATTCCTTTGAGTGATGAAGCTCTTCGCTGATGGAATTTGACAGGTATGGTGCAATTCTAAGAGCACCACTCTACAAGTCCACTTCTCTACAATATTTTAACTCTACACACCTCTCTTGGTATAATTTTAACTGGGGGCAATAAAAACAATCTGTTAACCTTTCCACTCTCTCAGCTATCCGAATTTAGGTGCTAGGAGTCCCTTACATTTTTCAGGTGCTTAGTTTGCTTTTCAGGCTCAGTTGCTTGCCTCTTCCTGTCACTGTCAGGTGTCACTAGTGCCACTTGCCCCTGCTGCTGGCGACTGTCAGGCAGCCGTGAGCAGACGTCACTGTCAAGACTCAGTGATGTCCTCTGCTGACAGCTGGCCATGTCACCTGCAAGAGTTTGGCAGTGCTCCTCGACACTGTCAAGTGACAGCATTTCCCAGCTCTTCAAACAAAAGGTGTCGTCAATGGCAGCATCAGCTGCTAGAAGCTGAGTCTGATGCTGTCTGCTGCCAGTTTCAAGTTAGCTGGTTCTTACAGCTGGTTTTCCCTTTTTTTCATAGCTTTTTATCTTGTGCACTTTCCACACTTTCTCCTGGAGGAACAGCATCTACCTGTTCGTGACCCCCTGTCTGATCGTGCCTGCTATGGCCAAAAACTCTATGACGCCGACGGCTGTGAGGATGATGTCTCTGAGATCCAGGCGCCTGCTTGTCCTCATTTTTGGAATGACGACTGCCCTCGCGATGGTGGTGGTGTTCCCTGTGCCTGTGCGGGTTGAGGTGAGGGGAATTCTGTCCTGTGGGTTTGGGCTCTATCTCTGCCAGCTTGTCCTCTGCTTTCTTAGTGATGTTTTCGCATATACCATCAAGATGAGGTTCCTGCAAAACAGAAGCCTGCACTGAACACAAGGCATTGTATTTGCGTAAACAAGTTGTTATATAAACCAGTTATCTCAGCATCCTTGCAGAACCTGAAATGGCGTTTTAAATGATGCGTGCTCCCTCACCCAAGAAAGACAGGAGTGTCTCGAAAAGAACCTTATTTTACAACACCACTGACAACATAAATGTAAACGTTTAGGAATTGTTGCTCAAGGAATTGCTAATAAAAGCATTCTGTTTCTAGGATTCCACATCTGACCTGCCTATGTCCCACATGTAGCTGGAAAACTGTGGGATGGAATCAAAAGTTATTGTTCCCATTGAACAGGAATTCAGATAATCAGGCTATTGCACACTGCATCCAGTTCACTTCGAAAAAGCGTTTAAAAGCTTGCTGTCAAGACACATGAAATCTGTACGTTCCAAATCCTGTCTTTTTGGATTAACCACAGTGAAATAATTTTTCTTAAGTACCAGTCAAGTCCAGTTTCCTAGTATATTTAGAATGAAACAAGGAAATACCGTGTAAGAGCAGTTTCCACACTTGTTTTCACAGTATGCAATCTTAATGGATTCTTCTACGTATTGGAAAGACAGGAAGGAGTAGGGCAGACCCAGATGATACACTAGACGGCCGCATCTAAGGAAAGAAAGAACCTTGCAGTGACGGGCACATGAATGTGTACCTAAAATTAAATACCTCTTCTTAACAGACCTTACTTTATCCACACAGACCCACCCACGCTGTGCAGTCCCACGGAGAATGTTTCCATCCGAAACCAGCATCCGCCTGCCCGCTCAGCTGCATCAGCCAGCCGTGTGAAGCACGGTTTCTGGCTGATGGAGTAGCTGCTGGCAGAAGCCTCTACTTCAGTGGCACTTAGACTAGCAAACGCAGGCTGGTCACAGACGCACATCGCTAGTAAGGAGGGCTGTTTGCACAGTGGTACAAATTGCCACATGGCTGTTGCAACCCCACAGAGAATGTTTTTGAGCAACCTCATGTGTGTTTTGGCTGGAATGTGCATGGCAGTGCCTCTGCACGAGCAACGCCGTGCGCGTGAAGGGGTTCGTGGTGCCTGTCCTTGAGCGTCCTGGTATGCGCTTGACCACAGGAGTGGTACGTTCAAAGGAGCTCGAGTAAACGCACAGCTTGTGCACACGGGCACCTTGGTAAGCACCCCACCTACAGCGTCAACACATGGTCCTCCAGCCTCATCTCCCTGCCCTCTGCAGCACACATCCAGGACCCACAGCAGCAAAGACCCGCTGCCGATAAAGGCACAGGAAGGATGTGCAGTCCTAGAATCCTAATCGATCATGGCTAAATTAATTCATTGTGTAGGTGTATCCTATGTGTCGACAGCACAAAACTGTTAAACCCTTCAAATGCTGTGGGCCAGGCATCAGTTTTGGGCTGCTCCACGGACTTTGTACAGTCTTGTTCTGTTGGTCTGTCGTAGGACAGCAACCTGATGCTCTAACATGCAATCGCTCTCTAAAGATCATTCCAGTGCTAGTTTCATCCCACAAGCCTCATTTAGCTAATATGTGCAGTTTCATCACATTACTAAAAATAAGTAACTTTCTAATTCTTTATTAAGCTTAGTTATGCTTCAGAATGAACAGAGAGTGTTCACTGCAGTAACGGGATAGTAGTTAGGACAGACGTATTACCACTGCAAGACTTGTTTGATAATTTCCATCACATCAAAAGTGAAAAATCAGGATTTCAATTAAAGAGTTATTATTCTTGGTTCTGCCAAAAGATACATGTCCCAGAATCCTATGATCAAAAAGCTATTTTCTTCCAAAGGTTTAAGTTTCACCTAAAGACTAATTTTTCCATATGGCTACATGACATTTTCAACAACTCCGGGCAAAATTTTTTGATGAGAACTTAAACAGCTCTCCTCCTTTGATTCTGCATTCACATGCATGGATGTAGTGAAATTACCTGAAAATAAACCCAGTGTAAGGCCTGAATCATGCTATCCAATTCTACTCTCAGTTACACTGATCTAAATCCACAGCAGTTACAAAGAAAGCTTTGTTTAAGCAAAAGCAGACTTTTCTTTTAGGGCCTTCCTTTTCCCAGCAAAAGCACAAATGTTTTACTGAGCACAACTCAGAAGCTGTTTGTGATGTCTTTGTTGTTGTGAGGTAATCAGGTTACTTGCAAATCAAATAAATAATATAGAGATTTACAAAGCATTGCTCTAAATACATGCAAATATTTTCCTATGTTCTCCTCTAAACACAGACCTGTCATAGATGAGAAAGTCATCCTTGTTTCCATTTAAGGTAGTCCAGACATCAGGCTGCTGTTCATCTTGCTGGTAGACAGTAATGTAGTCTGAAACACTTTCTTTCAGTTGGTGAAATTTCCTCTGGGAGTAAGTTCCTTGATGGTTGACAACCACATACGAGATATTGACCAGTCCCTCATTCTCTAACTTCACCCGCAGGTCCTCCAACCTAGTGGAGAATGTAAAGAAGCAAGACCACCAATCATTAATCACAGAATCACAGAAGGGTTCCGGTTGGAAGAGACATGAAGACCATCCAGTTCCAACCCCCCTGCCATGGGCAGGGACACCTTCCACTAGACCGGGTTGCTCAAAGCCTCATCCAGCCTGGCCTTGAACACTTCCAGGGATGGGGCATCCACAGCTTCTCTGGGCAACCTGTTCCAGTGCCTCACCACCCTCTCCGTGAAGAACTTCTTCCTGATGTGCAATCTAAATCTACCCTTCATAAGATTTGCCATGTCAAACAGAAGTTAATATGCTCCATCTTGCTGTTATTACAGCAAATGTTATTTTCTCCTAGTTTCAGTGGCAACAATGTAACCCTGTTAAAACATCCCTGCCATTTGCCATGACTGTCAGCTCTACTGTCACCAAACCAGACTCCAGGACAGCTAATATGCTGTGGTTCCTGCCCTTCTAAGTAGAATGCAGTTCTAAGTAAAGCAGACAGCTGTTTTCAGACTGACATCAGCATTGTTTTTATTTCAGTTCTTTCACGCCCTTCACTGTCTGACACAGTTAGTTTATCTGATGTCTTCATTTAAACGCTGAGGTTTTGGTCACATAGTTGGCTAAGGAATGCACACAGCAAATACAGCAGGCAGATGAATAATCAAGAAAGCAAACCTGCAGTAAAAGGCTGATAGCCCTCCCTGTCCTCTTGACATGGCTATTTTCTGTAATAGCCAGAAAAGGGACATTACAGTAACTGGGTCAAAAGGATGGCCACAGAATCTGTGCATGACCTGGCTGGCAGTTACTAGTCTTCCCCTGTGGCATCCCATCACAAAGGTGTTTTTTTTTGCTCTATTGTACAGGAAGCTGCTTTCTTGCAGTGGGGTTTTTCCCATTTTATTTGTGTTCTTCCTATTGAATTGCTCCAGAAAACCCTTTTAGGGTTTTTCTTTTGGTTTGTTTTATGACATAGTCTAGAGCTTGAAAGATTCTTTAAAACATTTCTTAAATGTACATGATAAACCCCAACTACCTTGAAAGCCAACCACCAAAAACACTTCTGGCTTTGATGGAGCCAGAGATCTACCACCACTTTTTCAAACACAGTTCTCGAAAACTGGCACAGATTACTACAATATGAAGCTACGCAGCCAAGAGGAGGAAGCCAAGGTGTTATTACAGTGACTAAAATCAAGCTCTGAGAGCGGCACTGTGGATTTCTAAACCAAAATGATTTCACAATCACTAAATGAATCCAAGAGAAGGGCTGTATGCCATTCCTGTTTGGGCCAACTCAGTATTATTTTCTGGCTGCTATTATTATCGTGATACTTAATTATGTGCACAGAAGTGGGCTGTGGAAACCAGAACACTGATGTCTCAGGTGGTGTATGAAAACATACCCCTGATGATTCCCTTGAATGCTTCAGTTATTTTTCAGAAGGCCAGCCTTTACCCTCTGGATTATTTTTATATCTAGGACCTCTGAACAGGGGCTGGGAAAGCACATTAAAAGCACATGTTTTGATTTGCCTTTTACCCTACAGATTTTACATCAAAAGAGGAGTGATCACAGGATTCTCTGTTTCAGGTGTTCTAGCCATGTCAGAGAATTAGGATGTTTTTCTGCCTCAGCATCTTTGCTACTTTCATCATCTTTGCTATCTGACATGGAGCTCTTGTTTCTGTTGGGTTTTCATGTGGTTTGGGTTTCATTAATGCGCAGTTGATCATACTTTTACTTGTAAATACAATCTAGAGAAGCGACCTGCCAGCCCAGACTAAGTCAAGAGGCAACAAATCTAAGTCAGGGGCACAGAACACTCCCTCTCAGAGTTTATCCTGGTCAGTGGGTCACCCGTGCCAGCTGGGAGGGTGGCATTTCAGGAAGCAGGAGTTCATGGAGTGCATCTGTACTTGAGCACAGGTGTTACCCTCAGATGGCGTTAAAAAACTGGCCAGCCACGTTCTAAAGCAATTGATGCTTACCTGGAAGCCTGCAGCAGGCACAAGTATCAGCTAGCCTGGAGGAGAGCCACCACCGTCACTGAGCCCCTGGAGTTCAGCATTGGGTTCTCCTCCCCAATACGCCATTCCGGGGGCTCCCTGCAGTTCTGGCTCTCTGTCCCTCCTCCTGGGAGGAGACAGAGAGCCAGAACTAGCCCCAGCCCTGCCCACATGGCCGGGCTTTGTCTGAAAAGAGAGAAAATAAACAGAACGAGATGAATGCCTCAACACATATCAGACTCTGAAAGGTCCATAACAAAACACAGCAGAATACTGACCCCATTCAGCTAAAAAAAAAAAAAAAAATCAAACAAAAAACAAACCCAAACCCTGTAAGAATAAATTTGAGCTTCTTCACTGCTTGAGCACGTTTCTTTCATCCTGCAGTGGAGTTCCCCTAGAATAAACAGGCAGTAGTTGTATGTAAACAGCTGAAAAGTAAGTATCCAGAACAGCCAGATTTTCTTTTAATGCTACTGATTGTTGTTTCTTCCTCTTTGTAATTTCTTCTTGACTGTTTTTAGCACTTCTGTGATTTTTAAGTGGCCTCATCCCTTGTGTTTTGAGATCAAGTGCATAGAGCCAGTTTACACCAGTAAGAATCTAAAGCGTTTCACTCCAGATTCCAGAGCGATTTCACTGGTTTAACAGTACTTGCACCAACAAGGTGTTTCGGTACCCAGCAAGTACTACAGAACCTGGCAGAGATTTAGAAGAAGACATGAAGATTTTTTACAAGTCATTCTGTAGTATTTGGATCCTACTGAGCAAAATCTCTTAAGAACACAGGCTCTAGAAACGATGTTGCAAAAACGGGAAGTGAAAACCGAGTTTTGGTGTCCCCCAGATCTTACAAAACCTCCCATCCACCCTTAGTCCAATTAACATTTGTGAAAATCAAAGCATACGAGAAACTCTGAAATTACCTTTTCCTGTTGTCCCATTAACATAATTACTTTGGCTCAGTAAGTTCAGAAAACACCCGTTTATACAGAAATACGTAAAATTATAAAACTGCTCCCCACCATCTCCTAGGTTGTGGAATCGTATAATTACACCACTCGCATCGCAGCCTGCCAGTAAACACAGCATGTTTCGGGTAAGTTCTGATAAGTAATATGCATTTCATTGATCTCCTCATACTCTAAAAAAGTCAGAACATTCTAATAATTCATCTTTCCCAACAAGAGCCAGCTGCTCTGAAGCCAACATCATCTGTGAAATCTGCCTGTCGCTAATGTTGCTTTCCTGCAGTTCTCCCCGAAGCATTTTAGACACAGTACTTGGAAGATTAAACCGTGCTGCACGGGGCCAGTTTCTTACTCTTTCCGCACACCTGGAAAGCTGCCCGCCTTCACATCCTTACGAACACACGGAACTCCTGTGACAGCATGAGATCCTTCTGTGCCTTCGTAGCCTCCTGCAGCCCTGGCACGCAGCGCCCAGCAACAGCTGTCTCGCCCCCTGGACTTTATGAGAGCTACGCTCTGGATTACACTTCTCTTCGCATTCCAGCTTTCTAGCTGGTTTCCAATGAAAATTTCCACGCTCAGCCTTTTCAGCCAAAGAAAGGCGCAGACGCTCTGCCCAATCTCAAGTCACGAAGCTCGGTCGCAGCAAAGCCAGCGCACTTACCCTTTCCTGCCCCCTCCTTGGCAGCTGTGCTGGCCTCCACCGCCGGGAAAGTAGCGTGGGGAGAAGGGCTGTGGTATTTATACAGCTCTTGTTTATCTCGCCTTGCAGATACGGTTCAAAGTTCAGGGAGCTTATTCGGAACGACCTTGCAAGCAAAGCAAACCCCTTCAGCAAAAGTAGCCAAAATATTTCTCCGATAACTGATTCCAAGTGGGAACCATTCATCCTGAAGAATGGCAAGGTCTTTTTGGTGTAAGGACTTTGGGTGCCAGGTTGTGCAGCTCGTCAGTCACCCCCGGAGGCAGTGGTACGGTCAGGGGAGGGGGTGGGCCGAGGAGCCATCCTTTTCTGAACACAGTGGCAACCACAGTGCGGAGGAAGGTAGTTCTCTACTTTTAACTGTGCTGAGCTGGCAGGTTTTTCTCTCTGTGCTTTATCTGATATTTGCCTTAGGGAATGGTACGCCCTGTCTCAGGCCATGTGCAGAACTGAGCTCCTTTTGCCCAGCTGCTCTTCATTACGTCGCTCAGCTTTAAAACGCCTTTCTGCCGAACCTGCCAGTTTACCAACGTCTGTTGAAGGTCAGAGCCCAGACCTTCAGCTGTTTAAACCGAGGTAGCTACGTGGAACCCATGAACCAATGGCCAACAGCCACTTAATGCCTCTGTGGTACTCTGGTACGTTCCCATAACCGCACCATCCCTGAGGTACCTGCGGATGTTCAGGCTTCACTGTTCCCTTACTCTTCCCTCAGTGAGAGAACTGTTTACGCATGGCGTGCTTTATTTTCACAGCAGTTTGAGTTTGATTTCCTTCAAGGTACACGTGACGTGTGTTTACGGAGAAATAAATGTTTAAAAACTTGGTGTGCCCTCAGAGTTGGAGGTGGTGAGATGTAACGCTGCTTGGTTTTATGTCCTGAGACTCTTGCGCAGATGATCAGGTCTGCTGACTTGGGGTCTGTCCTGCAGAAGTCCTGGGCTCAAGTCAGTGGAAAGAAGGACAAAGACATGAAGTTTTATTCAGTAGTCTTGCAGGACATGATGCAGACAACAGACATCAGGGCGGGACTGAGGGGTTTTTTTAAAAGGTGGAATGTGCTCAAATTCCTTACATTGTTAGGGAAACACATCCTTGTATTCTTTGCCAGATTGGGACCAAGTCCTCCTAACGGTGATGATGTCCTTTACTGTTCTGCATGAGGGATTATTTACTGAGCCTCCACCCTCAGGATAGGGTGTTGATTTTCAGTGCTAATAAAGCCCTGCAAGGTTGGCTGCAAGTAAGTATTGGGTGATCCATCCCTTCCCAAACGCCCACTGAGCAGCCAAAAAGAAATTAAGCAGGTACAGATCTGTTAATAGGGAGGGGAATAAATAATAGTGATTGACAATTGGTCTCCTGACAATTATTGCAACACAGGTGGAGATACTATCAAATAAAGAGCACTACTCATTCCCATTTCTTCTTGAGCATTGTAGAGAGGGATGGGCACAAGGCTCGATTAACAAGCGCCGGGTCTTGGAGCCACATGTAGTACCCCTGAGCGCTGCTGAGACTAACAGTGCACAAGTACTGAGGAAGGAAGGGCCCAGACAGAATAAACTCAGCTACCTTGCTATGGAAAGCACACTGAGGATGGACATGTACAGCGGTCACTACTGAAAAGGTACTATTTCCTCCCATACGGTATGCAGAGACACCCGCAGGGCCTCCGTTCCCTTATGGAGAGATAAGAAGCAGCTGTCGTCAGCAACTATCTCTGTGCTACTACATACTATTTATTACATTATTTATCATAATATTACATTATATTTCTGCCTCAAGATTTATTGAGGAAAAAAGTTTCGCTGTCTTAAAGCAAGTGGAGGTTTTGATAGATCTAAGTCAGTTGTTTTAGCAATGTATAGACCCTAAAGATGTTTAAACTTCAGTCTGAAGCATTACCCTGACTGGAAAATTCCACATTTTTTTACAAACAGTAGAATAATGGTGTTGATAATTGTTAAATTTACAGCCTAAGAGCCTGACCATTCCATTTCTTACATTAATCCCCTTGAATTCATAAGTTCCTGTAGCTCTTTGTCCATAACTTCTAAAGAAATAATTATCTTGATTTTGCTTTCCACAAGCAAGTATTTTCTCAGTTGTGGAGCATGTTCCAATCTCACTGCAGGAGGCAGTTGTGAACTCTAATTTGGACAAGTCTTCCATTTCAAACAATAATTTTTATAATTAACATCCCGTTTCTACTCACTGCCTTTCTGATCTGGGAGGAATAGCAGTCATGGTGGAAGTAACAGCCCTCTTCCCTTCTTACTGAACATAAATGAACCCCTTTTTTAACATGTTTCAAACTTTTCAAAGCATCACAGCACATAAATGACAGTGTCTTTGGAAACTAACGGATGTTTGTTATTTCTTTTATGTAGATCGATAATGTATATGTTTCTTTAAAGAAACCTCAGTCACAGAATGATGAGGCTGTCAGTAACTATATTCTGGTAAAGTCCGCTGTAGCGATTTGCAACCTCTGCAAATAATGAGAGGACAGAGGCAGAACACAAATCCAGCACGAATTCTATCACGAGACCTTAGGACTTCAGTGTCTGTTTTGCTCTTGTGACTGAAGGATGTCACAAACAGGAATCCAAAGTCCGTCGACGGATCGTAAGTCTCTACTGGTTCTTCTCATGTCTTCTCGTTTTATAACAGTGGAACTGCATCAACTCATTGGAGTTACTTATGCTTTATAGTGGAATAAACTGCAGCAAAAACAGGCTGTTGAGGTTTATTTAATGCTTATATAAGCAAATTTCCATTTGTTTATGAGGCCTTAAACTCTTGGTTAAATGCTGTAAATAAAGGGTAATTTAAGTGAAGGCTGAGAAGATAGACTAAAGTAAATTCAGCAAAATAATTACAACCACAAGTTCATCAGTTAAAGTAACTCCAGAAAGAGGGCCAGTGGTGCAATATTGGTCTTGTGCTCCTGTCATGTGAGATCCCGAGCAGTGCCAGATAACCAAATGCATACTTCTCAGAATTCAAAGGAAGCAGCAAAAGCTGACATCCTCTGATAGAGGCCTGGATTTTTTTTAGAGTACTAAGGAATAGCTGATACATGCAATTGTCTACTTAAAAACAAAATGAGGCTTCAGGGAGCTCTGATCTGGTAGATAGACATTTTGCTTTTCTGCTTGGAAATTCCACTGTACCAATGAAGTATCTTTCTCTACTTGAACCTATCTGTAGCACATCAAAATTAGCAAGGAAAATCATTTTCTCATCAGGCATGTCCTGAGTCATAATCATTGCACAGATTACAAATGCAAAATGATCCTAGTTGCTGCATAGCTACATGTATTCTGAGCTCCTTATTGGCTCTGTTCACTTTCTGCCTCTATCCTGCGGTAATTCTGCCAGCCTGCGAGTTCCACATGTAGCTGCAGTGGGTCTAAAACCAATGGTCCTCTTACCAACCGAGGGCTAGACAAATTACCTGATGGTACCCACGAGGTGGTTAAGAAGATCATAG